CGTGGGAAGCGCTTGTTACAGCATTCAGGATGTTTAATTGCAGCATGCAGGACCTAGTTCCCTGACCAGGGATCAAACTCAGGTTCCTGCACTGGGAACTCAGCTGCTGGACCACAGGGGAGTCCCTGGGCTGCTATTGATGAAGCTGCCTCCCTCGCTCTCCTAGACCGACCAGTGGAAAGCAGGTGCTCAATAAACACCCAAGCTAGACAGCAAACACTGCAGCCAAGGCCCTCACATGCTGTGGGAGGTGTGGGCCCCAGAGTCACTCAGTCCTGGGTTCAAGTCCCAGGTTGAGTCCAGCTCCAACCCTGACTGCCACGTGACTTTCGCTCACCAAGCCTCAGGCTTCCAGATCCAAAAAACATGGTGCGGGTAATGCCCACTTCCTAAAGGGAGGATGATTAAATGAGGTTTCAAGTCCGTAAAAGTACTAACACAAGGCCTGGCAAGAGATCTGTTATTTAAAATAATGTTACTCATTTTTTTAAAAAATGCAGTTGTGTGTTTTGCAGGAAAATTCTGCTTACAAAGTAAAAAAAAGAAATGAGCCTGAGCACCATGAATCCTTGCAAGGTGGGAAAAGGCTTTAAAAGCATCATCTCTTCCCTTTTGTGCCAGAGAAACACTAGAAATGCCTCTGGCTCCCCCCACCGGCCCTCCCTGTTCTCAGGCTCCTTGCAAGTCTGGACGGTGGGGCTCTCCCACCACCTGGTGGACGACTTGGGATGGCAGGCAGGTGAGCATGCCGTGGGGACCCACCTGATGTCATCTCCCACCTTCCCCCTTCTTTCCTCTCTTAGCACTGAAGCCCCAGCCCATGGGCTGAGCTGTTCCCACCATTTCGGGGTGCAAAGGACTGGTATCCAGTTATTTATTTGTGGCTGAACTGAGCTTTCTCATGAACCATCACCAGCGGTGGGGCTTAGAGGGTGTGACGGGGAGGCACTGACTTTGATCAAACCTGATACAAACTTGAGTTCAATGGGATTCTTTGAACTGTCCTTTTGGGTCTGACTAAGTCTCTTGGCAGGCTTCCCAGGTAGTTCTTACTGGTGGGCTACAGTGCATAGGGTCTCAAAGAGTCAGACACGACTCAGAATGCACCATGCACCAGGCTCTTTAGGATAGTGGCTTTGTCCTCCTGTTCCTCTCTAGGGGAATCTGGGGGCAGGGTGGGGCTTGTGTGACCTCCTGGCTGGAGGTCTGGTTCACCAGCGTGCACTGCAGGAACCAATGGGATTTGGTGGACCCCTGATTCCCCAGGTTCTGCTGTGAAGTTAGTCACTAAGTCAGGTCCAACTCTTTTGCAACCCCATGGACTGTAGCCCACCAGGTTCCTCTGTCCATGGGATTCTCCAGGCAAGAACACTGGAGTGGGTAGCCTTTCCCTTCTCCAGGGGATATTCCCGACCCAGGGATTGAACCCTGGTCTCCCGCATTGCAGGTGGATTCTTTACCATCTGAGCCACGGGGCCCTGTCTGCATCTCTCTGCCAGCCTCCACCTACCTCCCGTCCTGACTGCCCTTCCACCCCGAGGTGGAGGGTCACCCCCTCCAGGTCATCCCTCCCAAAGGGCCACTGCAGTTTTCAGCCTGGAGTAGAGCAATTCAACCCGCCCTGCTCATCCCTCCAGCCAGGCGACTCAGCCCCTTATAAACACCTCCCAAGATGAAGGGTGGGTTGAGCCTTTACCCCAGGGGTCCCCTCCTTATGGGTCCCCATCAGCTTGACTGTCTCCCAGCCTCCTGCCTCTTCTTCCTCCCCCAGGGCCCAGGGACAGGGGGTGGGCTTCGCCTGTGTTTCCTCCCTGCCCTGTCTCCCTCCTCCCACTTTGGGCTCCTGTCTAGACCCAGTGATGAGATGGAGAACCTCGTCCACAAAAAGGGAGTAACACCGAGCTCTGGTCTGGCCTTGGAAGGTTAAGAAAGGAAGCTTCTAATCTTGTAAAGTTAAAACAAACCAAAAAAAAGTCAGTGGAATTTTTAAGTCCTTTCTTTTTTGACAGTGCCCAGATTTCAATCTTTTTTTCTGGCTGCAGAACCTTCCTTTGAATATCAAAAACGAGATAGTAGCTTTTGCTTTCTTAGCATCCCCAACTGTCCCCAACTCCCTTCCCCTCCTCCAAGATGATAAAATCTAAAGAAGCAGCAGATGTCAGCTTCCCCTACCCTCGCCACACACACACTTCCTCCAGGTCCTGGGCAGGAGCCATGGGACCCCGGCCTCCCTTTAGTCACTGGGTCCTGGCCAATGGAGTGAGTGGGATGTGGGCCTCTTGCAAGAGCCAAGGTCTCTGAATGACCACGTGGAAGTCCCCTGTCCATAAGAAACACCGCCTTGGACTTCACCAGTTGCTCAGTCATGTCCAACTCTATGCGACTCTATGGACAGCTCCTCTGTCCACGGGATCCTCCAGGCAAAAATACTGGAGTAGATCACCATTTTCTCCTCCAGGGGGATCCTCCCCACGCAGGAATCAAACCCTGGTCTCCTGCATTGCAGGCGAACTCTACCACTAGGGAAGTCTTGGACTTCACAGGAGCCAAAAATAAGCATCTGTTGTGTTAAGCTATTGGGATGTTGAGGTTTATAAGTTACAGCTGTGAGCACTGAGCTAACAAAATAGCAGGTCATTTGTGTGTAAATGCAAAATAGAAAAACAAGTCGGTGTTTTTTTCCAACTGTTACTCCTGTTTGGAGATATGATAAGATAGACTCTGTTCTCTCATTCCCCTCTTCCTGGCCAGGGACCAGTGAGTCTTCTCTGCTCTATGCTACACCCCTCCCTGGTGATGTCACTGTCCATAGTTCAGCTTCCGTGTGCAAGTGATTCTCAAAAGACTGTCTCTGATCCTCAGACCCACATCTCTAGTGTCCTCTGTGCCTCAAAAGCCCTGGAACTCATCCTGTCTCAAAGGCAACCTGTGACTCACCTGTGACCAGCCTCCTCTCCTTTGCCCAGGTGCTCAAGCTGGAAACTTCTTGACCCCTCCTTCCCTCCTCCCCATACCCTGCCCGCCTCCACCTGTCACCGAGTCCTCTTGGTTTTACCTGCAAGTACCTGGGCAGCTACCACCTCTGTCCCTCCAGTATCAGCCTCATCCTCTCCCACCTGGACAGCTCTGTAAGTTCCTCCTTGGTGCCCCCACCTGGGCCCTGATCCAATCTACTGTCCATTCTGAGCTCAGGATCTTTGCCAGATGTGGACATGATTTATGTCACCCACTCTGATGCACATGCATGCAGGCTGAGTCGCTTCAGTCAAGTCTGACTCTTTGCGATCCCACTGACTATAGCTCACCAGGCTCCTCTGTCCATGAGATTCTCCAGGGAAGAAAACTGGAGTGGGTTGCCATGCCCTCCTCCAGTGGATTTTCCCAACCCAGGGATTGAACCTGTGTCTCTTGAGTCTCCTGCATTGGCAGCCAGGTTCTTTACCACTAGTGCCACCTGGGAAACCTGCTACATAGGACCTAAGTTTTTTATTCTTGAAAAATGACAGCAGACCACAAGGTCCGAGGGCTGAGCCCAAGCTGCCTCTCCTGCCCATCCCTACTCACTGCTGCATCCCAGACTCACCAGCTCACCCTGTGCCCTCCTATCGCAAGAGCTCTGCACACACTGATCCCTCCACTCAGTGGTAACAGACCTGTCCAGTGTCATTCCCTCAAGGACAGCCAGCCCTTCCATCGAGGTCACGTCCCCCTATTATAAGCTTTCCTAGAGCCACATGTCTGCCCCCAGTAGCTCTTTCTGTGTTGTTATTTCACTGCAGGCTGAATAATTATTTGCTTTGTCATTGATTCAGTCCAGCTCCACCCCACGGCCTTTGCATTTGCTCAGCCTGGCATGAGCTCCCCCAGACACCAGCACAGCTAACCCCCTCACCTCATTGGAGTCTTCTTCAAATGGCACCATCTGAGTGGGGCCTCCTCCACAACCCATTTAAACCACAAGATTTCCCTGGTGGTGCAATGGATAGCACCACCCAGGGAACATGGGTTTGATCCCTGGTCTGGGAAGATTCCTCATGCCAAGGATCAACGAAGCCCCTGCATGGCAATTAGTGAGCCCAGGCACTAGAGGCCGTGAATCAGATACTGAAGCCCATGAGCCTAGAGCCTGTGCTCTGCAACAAAAGAAGCCACCACAATAAGAAGCCTGTGCAGTACAACCAAGACTAGCCTCCACCCCCTGCAACTAGAGAAAGCCCACGCGCAGCAGGGAAGACCCAGTGCAGCCAAAATAAATAAACTGCAGTGCCCCCCACCACAACCCACTGCCACTCTCCCTAAGCCCCTCCTCTGGGGATGACTATCTTCTGCCCTTTGTCTTGTTTAATGTATCTCTCAAGACAATGTCATGCTACAGGGCCAGGAACTTTGGCTGGTTTGTTCACTGTCTTATCCGCTGTCCCTGGGGTAGAGCCAGCACAGAGTAGCACCTGAGACGTGTTAAGGGAATAAGGGAATGCAGTATAATACTTCTGGGCAAGACCAACTTATCCCATCTGTACAGTGGGCAGGGTCCAGAGCACACAGGACTTCGAGGGCTCCTCAAAAATGGGTTCATTTCTTTTAAAATAAGAAGGAGGGGGGGGGGAAAAGAATTCTTAGGGCAGGGGAAATGCTTTAATATGTAGTATTAATATACTCATCTTTAAACCAACACAGCCGTAAAATAAAATTTTAATATTTTTCTTCATGGAGGAAGACACCTACGAAGGCTAGAATGCTTCAGCTCAGAAGTCATGGCAAACCTGTTTCTGGTGCTTTCCTTGCAGACCCTGCCGGCCTTTAAACTTGGGAGGATGAGCAGCTGGCTGAGCTGGGGGGCCCTGCGCGAGGTCCAGCGCCTCCGCGGCGGCCGGCTGGCCGGGCGGTGCCGCTTTAAGGATGCTCTGCGGGTACCGGCCTTGGGCGGCGAGGATGCAGCCATGACGTCACGGCCCCGCCCCGCGGGGTGATGCTGCAGGAGCAGCGGCGGGCCGGGGGCGGCCGGGCCGGGACCCAAGCTCAGCGCGTGGCAGGCAGGAGCCCGGCCTCCTCGGAAAGGGATGCCTCCTGGCTGGAACCACAGGTACCTCCCTTTCCTCCTGCACCCTCCGCACAGTTTCCCGGCTTTGTGCTGGGAGCGCCGTGGCTTAGGCCCCAGGGTAAGCAGTGTGCCAGGATCGGGGCTGGAGGTTGGCACGGAGACCTTTGTTCCTCTTGTCTAATTAAATGAACTGTCAGTGGAGCCCCCCTCCCAACCCCCCCCATCTCGCCCCCTGAGTGCAGAACTCTCCCGCCCTGAGAAGGGTGGGTAGCAGTTGGGTGAGATTTATTTCACAGTTGCAAGGAAAGAGATCAAATACACACTGGGATTTGCCCCCAGGCTTACGCGGCGCTTATTGGTGCCTGAGGCCTGTTCCCAGGTCACCTGGGCAGGTGTCATCAGCTTCCGGTCCACCTCCCACCAGCGACTGAAAGCTCTGAATGGCTGGGGCCCTGGTGTAACCTCTCTCAGCACCCCAGGGTTAAGTTTATGATGAACACCAAGGATTTCTGCTTTTTTGTCAAGGGCAACATGCTGAGGTTGAAGCGAGAGGGTGATGGCAATCCATTCATCCTGCCCTCGACAAGAAATAACTTCATAACTTATTACTGGGTTACCATAATGTTTGTGTTTTCTCAGCTTTTATAGGGAGGTAGGACCGGGTGCTGATGAAACTCAAGTCAGTGTGTGCCTTACCAGGGCTTTGGGGATCAATGGGCTGCCAGATTGCCACCAATCAAAAATGAGAAGTGGGCTAGGTAGGATTCAGTAGCTAGTTCACTAAATATATCCCCTGAAGTCCACCTTTCTCAGATGGTGGCTGAGACAGTAAAGAGTCTGCCTGCAATATGGGAGACCCAGGTTCAATCCCTGAGTCAGGAGGATCCCCTGGAGAACGAAATGGCAATCCACTCCAGTATCCTTGCCTGGAAAATCCCATGGATGGAGGAGTCTGGTGGGCTACAGTCCATAGGGTCACAAAGAGTCAGACACAACTGAGCGACTTCACTGAAGTCCACAGAGTCCTTCACTGGTCTGGGAAGATTTCCTTGAAATATTAACTTGGAGAAATAGTAGGAGAGGGGTAATTTTAAGCATTCAAATTACATGGACATTGTTTATCTTTGTTAATCATTTGGCACCTAATCGACTTGAGGGATTTATTCTTTGAAACATCCTCTGTATTCTAGAAGGACAGTGGACCCAACATACAACCTGTGGGGGTCCAGGAATATGTGCAGATCTGGGGGGGGGGGGCGCAGTCTGAATAATGGTAATATAGTATGATCAAGATGTCTGGTGAATATTTGTGTTAGTGTATTAAAATTCCATTTACTAGTTTACATTTTACTTTCATTTTTTAATAACATAAAAAAATGAAAAAATTTTTTTTCAAAAATATTTTAAACAGTCCTTAGAATAAGCTTACCTCCCCCAGTGGCTCAGACAGTAAAGCGTCTGCCTACAATGCAGGAGACCTGGATTCAATCCCTGGGTCAGGAAGATCTCCTGGAGAAGGAAATGGCAACCCACTCCAGTATTCTTGCCTGGAAAATCCCATGGATGGAGGAGCCTGGTAGGCTACAGTCCATGGGTCGCAAAGAGTTGGACATGACTGAGCCACTTCACTTTACTTTAGAATAAGCTTTCACAGGCAACTTTTAATACATGTATTTTAAAACAAAAGTGGTAAGTCTGAAACTTGAAAATGAATCCATAATGAAGGCTTTTTTCAAGTTCAAGTTTAATTCTGATTTAGATGAGGGAGGAAAAGTGTAGGATGGGGGAAGTGTGAGGGTCTCCCTTTTGCTAGGACAGACTGCAGACTGTGTTTTAAAGCTGGGGGTGGTGGGCAGGTGATGGTGAAACTGTCACATCACAGGTAGAGACATGGGGTATTTAGGTAGCCCATTTTAAGCATGTGTGATCAGTTATGTCCAACTCTTTGTGACCCCATGGACTGTAGCCCGTCAGGCTCCTCTGTCCATTTTAAGTGGGTTACAAAGTTTCCTCTTTTCAAAAATATACTTCTACCCTATGCATGTAAGGCTAAAATTCTTCCAAAGTGGGCTCATGGTCCTTCATTCTAAAATGAAAGGATTTCTAATATATTTTCACTGAAGTTCACTTTATGGAAGTAAAATACCAACAGGAAAGAGAGGTGTCACGTGCCTGCAGGGGCAGAGAGAGAGAGAGAGTTAGGGAGAGGCAGAGAAGGAGTTAGCCACCGAGGCAGGTGTGAGGCTGTGACCAGACAGCTGGAGTCAGGTTAAGTCTTTAACACACCTGGGCTAAGGTCTTCCTCTGACTTCTAAGGAGACAGTCTTCAGTGTTCCAGCAGGTCCTCTATTTCTGTGATATTGTAAAATTTGTTTATTTTTAATTGTAGGATCATTGCTTTACAATATTGGTTGGATTTCTGCCATACATCAACATGAATGAGCCATAGGTGTACATATGTCTCCTCCCTCTTAAACCTCCCTCCCACTTCCTACCCTTTCCCATCTCTAGGTTGTTACAGAGATGGTGAAGGACAGGGAAGCTTGGCATGCTGCAGCCCATGGGGTCGCAAAGAGTCGGACACGACTGAGTGACTGTAACAACAAGGTTGTTACAGGTTACAACACGGTTGTAACAAGGTTGTTAGTTTGAGTTCCCCGAGTCATACATCAAATTTCCAGTGGCTATCAATTTTACATATGGTGGTGTATAAGCTCCCATGTTACTCTCTCCATTCATATCACCCTCTCCTTCCTCCCTCACTGCCCTTGTCTGTAAATCTGTTCTCTGTCTATGTCTCCAGTGCTGCCCTGCAAATGGGTTCTTCAGTACCATATTTCTGTCATCTTAATGAATGAAGCTCCAGGGATAGCTAACAACCACCTGAGTTTTTTAAGGCAAGACCAGCCAATTTTTCTCGAGTATTTCCTATTTACAAGGGTCTGAGTGAGACCTGTAAGGAACATAAACAAGATGCTTAGTTTAAAACTTTTTTTTAAATCTTGACTTAATCTTCCTAAAAAGATTATGTTTTTAATGAAGTATTACTTGTCTACATAGTTCTTAGGTACCTCTGCTCTTACTGTAGAAGAGATCGTGGGATTTTTTTTTAAGGGCATGAGATAAGCCTTTTCTAGAAATGAGAGCAGACTGGTTATGTCATTCCCTGTCACCTTGGTGTGAAATCCACCTCCTACCAGATCTTGCTGATCAGCTAATCCCTTCTTGATGGGTTCATCTCTCACCATCCAACCACCACTGTGCCCAGCTGGTGCACAAAGCTCCTTTTCATGGATGGTCCCCACTGCTTAGAATGTCTTTCCTCCACTTTTTCACTTAACTTGAGGGCAAGAACTATGTCTTCCTTTTATCTCTATAAATTCAGTATCTTGGTATTCAGTACTCAGCCAAATGGTAAGATAGGAAGGTAGGTGGGCAAGTAGATCATAGGATGGATGGATGGATGGATTGCTGGATAGATAAATGTATGAAAGAGAGGATGGATAAATGGATGGATGCATGCATGCATGGATGGATGGGTGGAAGGGAGGATGAATGAATGGATGGACGGAAGAGAGGATGGATAAATGGATGGATGGATTGGTGGATGGATAGTTTGTTGGATTAATATGATGTTCTGAATCCTGCTGGGACATCTATAGAACAAACATTTCTATCGTGGTGTGTTCTGAAGAGAAGGAAGACAATCCCCAAGCGGGCAGGATAGGTTGGGAGGAGTTTGGGGTGCAAATCTGACATAACAAGAGATTTCAGAGTGATTCGAAAAAGAAGTTATCGACTAGCAAGAGTTTGACAGAGGGCATACAGTAAGCTAAAGTCAGAAATAAGGGCCTCATTTCTAAAACTTTAAAACTATTTTGAAAGAAAGCCTCTACTATTTATTTTGGTAAATAACAAGAGTTCTTGTTAGGAAACCTATCAATGTTGGGAATGACATCTCAGGTTTGGGGCCTACTTCTCAGAAAGGATTCCAAGGAAAACTTAAGGGCACTTCCCTGGTGATCCAGTGGTTAAGGTTCCACCCTTCCACTGCAGGGACATGGGTTCAGTCCCTGGTCAGGGAACTAAGACCCCACATTGGGATGTGACCTTGAGATGAGGTCAAAAAGTTTAAAAAAAAAAAAGATGAAACATAGGCATTGCTTTTTTGTGAGGCAGATGGAGTGCGCTATGTCAGAGAGGTCAACCCCAATCCAGGATGTCCCCCTCTTGTGTTTTTATCTGTCTCTTTCCCTCTGATCTTAGCAGCTTTCCTCTCCCTATGCTTAGTAAAATTGATGTAGGTTAAAACACACATGTCAACAAGCTAGAATCTATTCCTGTAATATTTACAATCTAGATTGATTTCTAAGCAGTGAAAATTGTTGGATGCCCAGGGGTACAGACTGCAAACCCTGGGGGGTGAGGGTGGGGAACAGAGTGGATGGGAATGTCTGTAAGGTCCGCAGCCTGCTAATTCTCTACTGATACTGAGGGCGTTACACAATTCCTCAAAAAAAATAGCTTGAGGATGGAGGAAAATCTATTTCTCACCCTCCCAAATTCTTTTTGTCTCTCATTTTCTTTTTTTGTAAACTGTATCCCTATTCAGTGTGTTGTCTGTGACATGCAGGATTCAGGAAGTTCTGTTTATTTCTTTAAAGAGAACGTTTTCAAACACTGCAAAAGTCTCAGTTCTCCTGGCTCAACTGAAAATTCATTTGTCCAGTTGATGTAAAAGGAAAAGACTTGAGTTAAACTCATTCAGCTCCTTTTAGGCTCAGATCCTTGGTTTAAGGTGGAGTATAAACTCGGATGTTAGGGAGGGTGCCCACTGTGGCCCTCCATCCTGAGATGGAGGGGCTGTCCCCTCACCACATGCTAGTGCTTGGGGTGCCTATGGGTCCTTCTCCCTGCCTCCCCCCACCCCAGGGTGTCTGGTCTCCCTTCTCTGCTCACCTGGGGCCTGTAGGGGAGGGCAAAATTAGCCACAGGTCCTAGAAGAGCACTGTGTCCTTTGGGGCCTGAGAACCGTCACAGGGCTCTTGGTGGTCCCCACTCCTGGTTCTTTGCCAGACCCTCCTGATGGAGCCTGTTTGGGGAACTGTCCCTTCGTGTTTTAGCTTGGGGACAAGCTAAAGGACCTGAAGGACCAACTCTTGTCCCCTTGGGAAGGTAGGCTGCCCTGATGTGAAAGCCAGGTCCAGGAGTACCGTCCACACTGAAGGCTGCATTCTGGGGGCTCAGTGTTGGCTCTAAGGGGCCCCCGTGTGAACTCCATTCCCACCTGGACAGGGTAGCAGTAGCAGGACCCCGGGGGATGAAGGCAGAGCCGCCCGAATAAACTCTCTCTAATAGCAGAGGCCCTGCGGGTGACGGCTGCCCCCTGACTGGGCTTTCCCCACAGGAGCACCCACCGCCCCCCCCTGCGATGATCCCCCCGGCCAGCAGCGCCCCTCCGGGAGAGGCCCTCTTCCCCGCCTTGGCCCCCCAGGACTTCTGGAGGCCCCCAGTCACTGGCTACTCGAGGTCCGTGACCCAGCACATCAGCCACCGGGCCAACAATTTCAAACGACATCCCAAGAGGAGGAAATGCATCCGGCCCTCACCGCCCCCGCCCCCCAACACTCCCTGCCCGATCGAGCTGGTGGACTTCGGGGACCTGCACCCCCAGAGGTCCTTCCGGGAGCTGCTGTTCAACGGCTCCGTCCTCTTCGGCATTGAGTTCAGCTACGCCATGGAGACGGCGTACGTGACCCCCGTGTTGCTGCAGATGGGCCTGCCCGACCAGCTCTACAGCCTCGTGTGGTTCATCAGCCCCATCCTCGGTGAGTCCTGCGCAGCCCGCCGGCCTCCGAAGCCTCCCTAGAAGCTTCCAGAAACCTCACTGGGGGACAAGAGAGGGGCCAAAGTCGAGCCCACTCAGTTGTGTGGGGCTCTAGGTAAAGAATCCGCCTGCCAATGCAGGAGACGCAGGTTCCATCCCTGGGTCGGGAAGATCCCCTGGAGAAGGGAATGACAACCCACTCCAGTATTCTTGCCTGGAGAATTCCATGGATGGAGGAACCTGGTGGGCTACAGTCCATAGGATCGCAGAGCCAGACACGACTGAGCGACTGAGCATGCACACATGCAAGAAAACCCAGGTTTGGCCAGTCAGATCCCATCTTTGAAGCAATTTTATCTGAATCAGGTGGAGGATGTGGTACCACATAGACTCCAGGCTGTCGCTGGAGGATCCAAGCAATACAGCGGGGGATGATTTGGGTCTAGGAGACCCTGCATTTCCTTGGATTCCCAAGGAGGTCACAGCAATTCCATGCCTCATGGGGGCTTGAGTTGAAAATTTAAGGAGAAGCTCAGTGATTCCAAGAGTCTGTTTATCTTTCATTTTCTAGCTTAGAGTTTTGTTGCTGGCTCCGAGTTTCATCATCTGATTCTTTAGATGCCCTGGAGACGGGTGAATGCAAATGTTTCGGGACTCTGGGGAGGCTGTGTCCGAGTCAGTCCCCACATGGGGTGGGGACCCCAGTGTTGACTGCTGACCTTCTCTGTTTCAGGATTCTTACTGCAGCCTCTATTGGGTGCTTGGAGTGACCGATGTACCTCAAGGTTTGGAAGGAGACGCCCCTTCATTCTTGTCCTGGCTATAGGTCTGTTGTTTTGGCATCGAAATAAAATGGAAAAAAAGTTAAAAAAAAAAAAAAGGCCCCAACTGCTTTCTTTTGGGAAAATCTAAAAGAGTATTAACCAAAACCAGTAATTCAGCTCATGTCACTGGTGTGGGAGCCAGGAGCACCCTGTAACCTGGTCCTGGTTAACTGTGGAAGTCTCTCTGATCATGTTTTTAAAACAAGTTAGTAGAGGAGTTCCCTGGTGGCTAGTGGTTAGGGTTCCAGGCATTCACCCCCTGTGGCTGGGGTTCAACCCCTGAGTGGGGAACTGAGATCCCAAAAGCCACGCAGCTCAGCAAAAAAAGAAAAAAAATGAGTTAATAAAATCTTCTCTATTATTCCAGCAATGCTTGATGGAATAAAACCCCTGATCTAAGCGCTCTGTTTGAGGTTTGATTAAGAAGGAATTCTTGGGGCCCTCAAGAGTCTAGCCTTAAGTTGTGGCTGCCGGGGCCGGCAGCTCTGCGTTTCGCGGGTGACTCTGTTCTCCGTCCCCAGGGGCGCTGCTGGGCCTCTCGCTGTTGCTCAATGGCAGGGACATTGGGACGGCGCTGGCCGACACAGCCAGTGACCACAAGTGGGGCATCCTCCTCACCGTGTGCGGCGTGGTGCTGATGGACTTCAGCGCGGACTCGGCCGACAACCCCAGCCACGCGTACATGATGGACGTGTGCAGCCCGGCCGACCAGGACCGGGGCCTCAACATCCATGCCCTCCTGGCAGGTAAGGGAGGAGCAGGGACGTGATTGAAAGTGTGTCTCTCAAACCATAGGTGTCAGTAATGTTAATATATACAGATGTTATGTATCTTATCTATATTTCATTGTATAGTTGATTTACAATGTCGTTATTTTGAGGTGTGCAGCAAAGTGGCTTAGCTATATATACTATATATATATTATATAATATACATTCTTTTGCAGACTCTTCTCCCTTAAAGGTTATCACGATATGAGTATAGTTCCCTGTGCTATACAGTGGGTCCTTATCATTATCTGTTTTATATATAGGAGTGTGTATATGTTAATCCCAAATGCTAATCTATCCCTCCCCCATCTCCTTCCCTCTTAGGCAGCCATGAATTTGTTTTCTATGTCTGTAGGTCTGTTTCTGTTTTGTAAATAAGTTCATTTGTTATCATTTTTTTTAGACTCCACATATAAGTGAAATCATATGATATTTGTTTTTCACTTAGTATGGTCATCTCCAGGTCCAATCATGTTGCTGTGCATGGCATTATTTCATTATTTTTAATGGACGATATTGTTGATATATATGCATATAAGTGTGTATGTAGCTATGTATGAATGTGTGTGTATATAGCTGTGTGTAGATATTATTATATAGTGTTGGTTCTTGTTCTTTGTGTAGTTACATCCTACAAAAGTGCCATAAGTCCTGAATTAGCCAACCCCAAATCCTAGCCCCATGGAGACATACAGGGTTAGTTTGCTGCAAACATCCAATCACATCATTTTGGTCAATGAATCAATACATAACCTTGTTTTATGTGTTTCTGTCTAAAGACAGTTTATTTTATATATATCACTGATGCATTAACCTTGAACTCACATTCCTGGTCAGGGAACTAAGATCCTGCAAGCCTTGTGGCACAGCCAAAAAAACAAAATAGCAATGAAAAGATTTCTAAAAATCAAGGGCAAGTTGTCACACGTGGGGAGCCTATATGAAGAGACTGGGTGGCCCAGCAGTTAGAAAGTCTGAGCTCTGGGAGCTGACATCCTGAATCGGGTTTGTATTTTTCCTCCTGTTCATGGTGGGACTTTGGGTAACTGCTTGACCTCTCCAAGCCTCAGTTGCTTTTTCTAGAAAATGCAGTTGTTTATCACTCTCTCTTTATACTCCTGTATGCATGTGGGCCCAGGGAGCTTCTGCGTGGATCCAGGCAGGTAGGGTTTGGAAGGTCAGAAGACGGAATTCATTTTTTACGTTACATATATATATATATATGTGTGTGTGTGTGTGTATGTATGTAACCTTTTTACTCCAACTTATGACGGCTTGACTTACGATTTTTTGCCCTTCACAAAAGCTTTTAGATTTTGCTCTCTTCCCAGGCTACTGATACCCAGTCCAGTCCTCTCTCATGGGGCTTCCCAGGTGGCGCTAGTGGTAAAGAATCCACCTGCTAATGCAGGAGACATAAGAGGTGGGGGTTAGATCCCTGGGTCAGCAAGATCCCCTGGAGAAGGGCATGGCAACTTACTCCAGTATTCTTGCCTGGAGAACCCCCATGGACAGAGGAGCCTGGCAGGCTACAGTCTGTGGGGTCACAAAGAGTTGGAAGTGACTTAGCATGCACACACGCCTCTCCCATGATGCTGGGCAGTGGCAGCCACCACTAAGGGTCGACATCCCTACACTTAACAACTGATCTGTTTTTCACTTTCAGGACAGTCTTCAGTTATATGAGATAGTCAGCACTTTATTATAAAATAAACTTTGTGTTAGATGCCCAACTGCCAGTTAATGGAAATAATCTGAGCATGTTTAAAGTGACTGGGGCTAAGCAATGATATTCAGTAGGTTAGGTGTATTCAATGCATTTTCTTTCCTTTTTTAAAAACCTTAAGTATAGTTGATTTACAATGTTGTGTTACTTTCAGATGTACAAGAAAGAGACTCAGATATACACATATGGGCTTCCCAGGTGGTTCAGCAGTAGAGAACCCCCTGCCAAGCAGAAGACTTGGGTTTGATCCCTGGGTCAGGAAGACCCCCTAGAGAAGGGAATGGCAACTCACTCCAATATTCTTTCCTGGTGAATTCCAGGAAAATCCCAGGAAAATGGACAGGGGAGCCTGGCAGGCTACCGTCCATGGAGTCGCAAAAGAGTTGGATGCGACTTAGTGACTATATATAATGCAGTATAGTTCCCTATGCTGTATAGTAGATCCCGGTGTCGACACTTACTCCTGGTCTTCCTAAAACGCTGTGTGCAGAGGGGAACAGAATGAGGCAGGTGGTCATCATGCCCTGGCAGGTGACCCTTGAGTGCAGGCAACCAGGACAACCATCCCCCAGCCATTTTCTTCTTTTCTTTGGGGTGTAGGTGGGACAGATAATCCATCCAGGTCCTTGGAGTGGATTTTTCAAGTCGAGTAAGGAAGGGGACACCTTCTTGGGGGCTTTCTTCCCTAACCCATGAGGAAAATTGACCGTTGCTTTTCTCCCCAGGTCTCGGAGGAGGTTTTGGATACGTGGTCGGGGGGATCCACTGGGATAAAACCAGCTTTGGGAGAGCCCTGGGTGGGCAGCTGCGGGTAATCTACATCTTCACAGCCGTCATCCTGAGCATTACCACCGTCCTGACCCTGGTCAGCATCCCCGAGAGACCCCTGCGGCCCCCAGGCGAGAAGAAGCCAACCATGAAGAGCCCCAGCCTCCCACTGCCTCCGTCCCCGCCTGTCCTGTGTGAGGAGGGTGCGGGCCAAACGGTCCCCTGCCCACCCCCAGCCCCCAGCCTTTATGCCAGCTTCTCCAGCCCCATCTCCCCGCTCAGCCCCCTCACGCCCAAGTATGGCAGCTTTATCAGCAGAGACAGCTCCCTGACGGGCATTAACGAGTTTGCCTCGTCCTTTGCCACGTCCAACATCGACAGTGTCCTCATCGACTGCTTCACGGGCGGCCACGACAGCTACCTGGCCATCCCCGGCAGCCTCCCGAGGCAAGCCATCAGCGTCAGCTTCCCCCGGGCCCCTGATGGCTTCTACCGCCAGGACCGCGGCCTCGGGGACCGGCGGGACGTTGCCCTGGCCACTGGCCCTGATGGGGACGTGCTGAGGGTGGGCTCCCTGGACACCTCCAAGCCGCGGTCAGCTGGGATCCTGAAGAGACCCCAGACCTTGGCCATCCCGGATGCGGCTGGAGGAAGCGGCCCCGACACCAGCCGGAGAAGAAACGTGACCTTCAGTCAACAGGTAAAAGCAAACATTGGGGCTGGGGCGTGTGGGGGCATGGTGGTGGTGGGGAGCCAGGGGTCAGAGGGTGCCATGCACATGGCCCCCTCTCTTCATTTAGATAGATGACCTGGAAGGAAATTTGTGGCCCTGGGTGAACCATTCAGAAAAGACTTGGGGCTAATGGATGGGCCTCAAGGACACGCCCAGCCGTGGTAGCCTCGTGCTCTTCATCCAGTCAGTGCGAGGATCCTGGGGCCCACGTGAGCCCAGGTGCACTCAGGGTCTCTTCAGTGCTCTAAGAAACTGGCCACAGCAAAGGGGTGGCTCTTTCAAACACCCTTATGTTTGCCGAGAGGTGGTTCCATGAGTTCAGCATCATATGTGCTGTCGTCATTTCTAGTCTTTTCCCCACATCCAGCCCACTTTGGCCATGTGCGCCCACGGCAATGAGCACAGACTTCCTGAAGGACAGAAATGAAACCTAAACCCTGGTGGCTGTTTCTGGGGCCTCCATGGGTGGGCAGCCTTAACTGGCCAGCTGGGAGGCTGTCAACACTGTGGATCCCAAAGGGTGCCGGAATGTTCTGGAAAAGCAGAGAATCTTTCAGAAGGCTGTGTTGTATGAGGGATTTGGCTGCAAGGCCACCAGCCGATATGTGGGATTTTAGCCATCTTCAGAGTCTGTGATTTTGAAGAGAATTACAGCCTTGCCACAGCAAAGGGGCTTCTGTAACTCAATGAATTTGTGAGTCATACCATGCAGGGCCCCCAGAACAGACGGGTTACAGTGAAGAGTTCTGACAAAATGTGGTCCGCTGGAGGAAGGAATGGCAAGCCACTCCAGTATTCTTGCCACGAGAACCCCATGAGCAGTGTGAAAAGATGAAAAGATGTGACATCGGAAGATGAGCCCCCAAGGTTGGAAGGTGTCCAGTATGCTACTGGGGAGGAACGGAGGGCAGTCACAAATAGCTCCAGAAAGAGTGAAGAGGCTGGGCCAAAGAGGAAAGGACACTCAGTTGTGGACATGTCTGGTGGTAAAAGAAAAGTCTGATGCTGTAAAGAATCATACATTAAACAGAGTTATTCTTAGGACTTCCCCGGTGGTCCAGTGGTTAAGACTTTGCGTTTCAATGCAGGAGTTGTGGGTTTGAATCCTTGGTGGGTGAGCTAGGATCCCACATGCCTTGGGGCCAAAAAACAAACATTAAAACAGAAGCAATATTGTAACAAATTCAATCAAGACTTAAAAAGAGAGTTATTCTCTCATTTAAAGTAGAAGTGAGGGCCCTGTGGCCTCCCTGCCCTCAGGGAACCCAGGGGATGGAGTTTCCTGAGCAGAAATCAACCTGCACAGGCCCCCAGGAGGGCAGTTCTGAAGCAAGTGACCTGGACACACCCCTTGGACACACTTGCCCATGTGACTGGAAGTGCCAGCCTCATCTCGATCACACATGCTCCCCGACCCTGTACCTGAGAAGACACCTGACCTTGTAGGAGGCCCACCAGAGATGCTGGCTTTGCTGTTAAATTCTGAAGTTTGATGCACCCCTTTGCATGACCGAGAGTCAATCCTAGGGCCTTCTTTTATTGTATCTTAAACTTAATGCCATCCCACCTCAAGGAAGCACTCTGCACAGATGTTGCTTGTCCTGCTGAGAAGTGTCCAGGCCCCGGTGGGCAGTGTCCACCAGCTCCAATCCAGAAAGGGTTTGAAGCACTCAAAGTCACTGGAAGAAACCCGTCATTGGCAGAGGGAAGTGATTTCTGTAAGTGCTCAGGTCAAGGGTATGTCATGCTCACTCTTGATGACCATAGAGCAGCTCATCAGGCCTTTTGTCAGTACTGGGCCATTCTATCCAGTTGCCCCAAACCCCACCTGGCTTCTGGATACACTTCTTAAGTTCTAGTGGAAAGTCTCTTTTTCATCCTTTTAAAACATTCTATTTTCAAATCGGTTCTGGGAGGAAAGTAAAAATCATGAGCTTAGTGTGAACACATCTGGGCTCAGTGGGGACGGGGTGTCAGGTGAAGTCTTGCTCCAGCAGTTATGGGTGACAAACTCTGTTGGCATGGTGGCTGCCCTCAGAACTGGCATTGTGGGCTCTTTCCTTCCTTTTCATTCTTCCACCTGGAGCATCCAGGTGCCGCCCCAACAAAAGCTCCTGCGTGGACCCACAGTAAGGTATCTTCTCTCTTCTCGAGATGTGTACCTCCCAAAGCCAACAGCTCACCTAGGTGGTGTCTGCACCTCCAGCCCTAGGGGGGCCTTGGCCTTCTGGGAAGAGGCTGCAAACGGAGCCGTGAGTGTATTTGTCCCTGGAGCGTTGCCCTGAACCCACTCATCCCCATTTCAATGCTGGTGACATGTGGGGCTGTCTGGGTACCCAGCTCCCTACCTGGGCTCCCTGGGCCCCCCTAAGCCGCTGTGTAGGCAGGCATCCATCAGTCATGTTGAAATACATCTTTCACATCCTCTCTTCTGGAAAAGTCGGGACTTCATAATGTCTGAATTTGAGCCAATCCGTATTTCTTTTCTTTCAAATGTATTTCACATTGGGCAAATTTACCCTCTGTGGCCTAAAGGCAGGCACAGCGAAGGGAGATTTTATGCTCAGCTGCCCCCGTCTCTGAAGAGACTAACGTTATATGTCTCTTAAAATGTCATAAAGTCATTTCTCTCATTCGGACCACAGGCCTCAGCAGGGTGGCTGGAGAACAGTAGGATGGTGTTTGGTGCCTGGTTCACACTGTCCAGGAAGACAAACCCTCACAGCCTCTGGGTCTGTGTTCCTAATTCACTTTCTCACTGAAGCAAAAGGTGGTGCTAGTGGTAAAGAACTTGCCCACCAATGCAGGAAATGTAAGGGACGTGGGTTCGAGCCCTGGGTTGGGAAGATCCCCTGGAAGAGGGCATGGCAATCCACTCCAGTATTCTTGCCTGGAGAATCCCATGGATTGAGGAGCCTGGCAGGCTACAGTCCATAGGGTCACAAGGAGTTGGACATGACTGAAGCGACTTAACACACACGCATGGAGCTCCAATACTTTGGCCACCTGATGTGAAGAGCTGACACATTAGAAAAGACTCTGATGCTAGGAAAGATTGAGGGCAGAAGGAGAAGGGGGTGACAGAGGATGAAATGGTTGGATGGCATCACCGACTCAACAGATATGAGTTTAAGCAAGCTCTGGGAGATGGTGAAAGACAGGGAAGCCTGGTGAGCTACTGTCCATGGGGTCACAAAGAGTCGGATGTGACTAAGCGACTTAACACGCACACATGGGGTAGCTGGGGTGTAGTGCTCTGATGAGGGATTTGGGGGGCTTCTCTTGCAGGTGGCAAATATTTTACTGAATGGTGTGAAATACGAGAGTGAGCTGACGGGCTCCAGCGAGCCGTCGGGGCAGCCGCTGTCCATGAGGCACCTCTGTTTCACCATCTGCAACATGCCCAGGGCGCTGCGCCACCTCTGCGTGAACCACTTCCTGGGTGAGCTCGTGGCAAAACTTCCTGCCTGTCGTGCCCCCCTCGGGTGGCCCTGCAGCAGGGGCACAGGCCCTGACCCAGGGCTAGGAATGCCCGGAGGCCTCTCCAACCCACCAGGCTTCCCCAGACACCACCTGGGCAGAATGAGGTGGGGATGGAGCAGGGAGGTACCTGCTCCAAGCGTTCCCAGATTAACCAGGTCCCCTGGGTCTCCATGGAGCCCAGATCCTCGGGACCAAAAGCTCCTCAGGCAACTCACAGTTAAGTGGGCTATCACTTTCCCACTGGAGGAATTTGTGAAGCCAGTCTGGACCCCTGACTCTCGGAGCGGAGATGTAGACACACCCAGACACACATATGTCAGGGGCTGGTCTCAAGTTCACAGGCTCAGCTTTCAGATGAATACCAAGAAGCCCCAGCTAGCATGCCATTCCTTCCAGCGTCTCTTCACTGTTGGGCTGTTGACCCTCTGATCTTAACTTAAGCTCTCAAACAATTGTGGGATGTAAAGCAGAATGACTTTCTGGAAGGCAATTTGGCAACAGACAAGAATCTTAAAAAATGCCCATAGCGTTTATCCCAGGGATCCTATTTCGTATTCATTGCAAGGATGTAATCAGAGATTTGATCATGAATCAAACTTGTATGAGGTATTGATTACAGCATGATTTATAACAGCCAAAGATCAAGATGGGAAAAAGGGTAAACACCTAGCAATGGGGGAAGGGGTAAGTATATTAGGGTGAATCCACATTGTGAAATATTTTGCTGCCATTGAGATGGGGCTCTTTAAAAGTATTTAATGGCATAGGACACGTGCATGATAATTATTGGGGTTCCAGAGGCCCAGTAAACACCACCTCCTTCCTCTATGAGAGAGAAATGGCCGTGGAAACCGGAGGAAGGACCCCTACGGTTTTCTTGGTAACAGAGCAAGTTAGGTTTCCATCAACATTTGCCCTTCCTAAGGTACTTCTCCCAGGTAAGCAGGCGGCCCCCTGCCCTGCCTGTGACTGAAGCCCCGCTGGCATTTTCTTTCTTCCCAGCGGGGGAGCGAGTGGAAAACCAGAGGTGGGGTTAACTTTCCTTCTGGTGATAGGATTCAGAGAAGGAATAGAATGCAAAACCTCTCACGACAGGGCATGTGTTATAAGAATATATATTTACTTTAAAAAAAGACAGGTAGGGGAAACTTTACTGGGTGGTCCAGTGGTTAAGACTCCACGCTCCCAATGCAGGGGGCCTTGGTTCAAACCCTGGTCAAGGAACTAACTAAATAATTAATTTTTAAAAAAGGAAGGATAGGAAACCTACAAAATTTTAACAGAGGTAAAGGCATCTCTGGGTGGTAAACGTAATTCCTTCATATTTTTAAGAAATAATTTTTATATTTATTTTTACAAAATTAAAACATTTTTATTAAAATATTTTAAATAATTTTTAATCTTTATTTACTTCTTTGACTGCACGGGACCTTTACTTGTGGCACACAGGATATTTTTTAGCTGTGGCATGCGGGACCTAGTTCCCTGACCAGGGATGGAACTCGGGCCCCCTGCATTGGGAGCTCAGAGTCTTAACCACTGGACCACCAGGGAGGTCCCCCCTCTTCTTTAAGTTTTGAATCGACAAAACTCACGTGCTGCACTGATGGTGGGTCAGAACCTGCTGGGGGGCGGGTGAGCCAGTGCCTGCCCTGCGGTCACCACCTGTGTCCCCCCCAGGGTGGCTCTCCTTCGAGGGGATGCTGCTCTTCTACACGGACTTCATGGGTGAAGTGGTGTTTCAGGGGGACCCCAAGGCCCCGCACACATCAGAAGCATATCAGAAGTACAACAGCGGCGTCACCGTGGGCTGCTGGGGGATGTGCATCTACGCCTTCAGCGCCGCCTTCTACTCAGGTACCCACGGGGCGAGGGTGGGGTGTGAGGGGGCAGACTCGGCCGGAGTTTGGGAGGCTGGGAGGGGTGGGGGCAGGCTCGGCTGGGGGCTGTTAGGGGCAGGTTTTGGGGGCAGGCTTGGCGGGGGCAGGTGTTGGGACAGGCTTGGGGGGCAGGCTCATGGGGGAAGCAGGCTCAGCTGGGTGTTAGGGGCAGACTGGGGGGGGCAGGCTTGGCTGGGGGGCAGGCTGGGGGGTGTTGGGGGCAGGCTCGGCAGGGGTGGTGGCCTTCCAGGAGGGTGGCGAGAGGACAAGCATTGAAGGAAGCCCAGTTTGGGGGCAGACAGCGCTGTGTTTTTCTGTTTTCAGCGACCCATCGTGGGGGTCAGTTGGGGGCAGGACAGGGGAGGGTGTGTGTCCAGACCTGAGGGAGCAACTGGCCAGAGGGTTCAGGCCCGTAGGCAAGGGCCAAGTGGGGGCCCAGGGACAATCCATGAGGTCACCTCAGATGGGTGTGCCATCCACCGGCCCCCCTCAAGTCTTTCCCACGTCAGTTCATGTGGTAGCTGGCCCAGAGGGGATGGAGGTGCAGGGGAGACCAGAGAGGCAGGTGGAGTGACATGGAGGTGGGCGGTGGGGACAGGGAGTCCGCGATGACCCTGAGGTTTGACCCTGGGTGACCCACGGCCCTAGGACGCTGTGCTAGATTCCTGAGGGTGCCAGGTTCAGCCCAGCGGGGGTGTGGCAGGGCAGTTTGGGGGGGTGCAGCCCCCAAACTTCATCTCAGGGGTTCGCCCACATGTTCAGTAAAAGGCCAGAGAATCCAGCCTTCTGGCTTTTCTGGCCACAGGCTCCGTTGGGGCCCCTCGGGGCCACCGTTGAGGTGGGTGAGACATGATGACCACGTGGGGCTAAATTCTGGCTAACCTTCTCTGACGTTTATGGGGATTTGGATTTTGTATAATTTTTACATGTCACAAATTATTCATCTTCTTTGGGTTTGTTTTAAACATTTGAAGATATAAAAACCATCTTTAGCTCCAGGTGGTACAGAAACAGGCTGCAGGCTGGACTCCACCTGAGAACTGTAAACTGTGGGCCCTGTTAACAAGTTCCAGCCCCACCATCGGGACCGCGACCTTTTGTGGGGGTTGAGAGACCATATTAAGAAAGAATTTCTTGGCTCTCAATGGCAGACCCCGGGGGCTTGGGTGTCTGGGCACCTGGACGTGGGGAAGTGGCCCTAGGGCATTGCAAGGGGTGTCCTGTGGAGTCTCAGCTCCCAGGCCTCTCAGGGTCCTTCAAGGCTGGCCCACTGGGGTGGGGCTGTCAGGGTCCTCACATTAGGAAAGAGGCAGAGGCAGTAGGATTTGTGCAGGAATTTAGGGCTCAGCTCTAAACCCTAAACTCTGGAGCCGCTGGCCTTTCTACCCGAAGACCCCTTCACCTGCTGCAGCACCTGGGGGCCTGGCCTGGGCCGACGTGAACAGGGCTACCCCGGGTCCTGCCACCCATCTGGACCCCGTCGGTGGTCCCTGAGCTCCCCGGGTCCCTGAGCGGGATGAGCTGCCTGCCGGCCTGGGGGTGCCCAGGGCACCGGGTGGGTTGTGCTCACCTTCCTCTCCCCTGACAGCGATCCTGGAGAAGCTAGAGGAGCACCTCAGCGTCCGGACGCTGTATTTCATCGCGTACCTGGCCTTCGGCCTGGGGACCGGGCTCGCCACACTCTCCAGGAACCTCTACGTGGTTCTGTCCCTCTGTGTCACCTACGGCGTCTTGTTTTCCACCCTGTGCACCCTGCCCTACTCGCTGCTGTGCGATTACTACCAGAGCAAGCAGGTGAGTGCCCCGGCTTCTGGCTGCAGGCCGGGTGTCCAGGTTGAGCCTCCACCTGAGCAGGGTCCCGGACCTCCTGCGTGGCTCGGGAGCTGCATTCAAGGGGAAGATTATCAGGATGCGTCAGCAGAGCATAAACCCCAGAGGGAAGCTGCCCACAGACTCAGGAGGTGGCGAGGGAGGGGCAAGGAGAGGCCACCCTGGGGTTCCCCTCTGCCAGGCTTCAGGGTCACCTGGAAGCACTGGGCCTTGGGCACCAACCACTTTGTGAACGAGGTCAATAATATGTGAACATTATTATGAGATTTTTTAAAAATGAGAATTTTTTAAAATTATTTAAAATTATTTAAAATTATTTTTTAAAAATGAGAATCAATGCCAAAAGTCCACACTAAGTGGGAGACAGGAACTTAAAGAGGATAAGTGACAGGACCGAGGTGCGAACTGGTGGTGTCGGAGGCAAAAGGAAAAACCAGGAAAAAAAGATCCTGTCTTTCTGTAAAAGCTGATGTTTTGTTCAGGGCGGGTTTTCCTTTACCAGCTTAATTGAGGAAGAATTCAGCACAAAACTACACCATTCACCCATTTCCAGTGTACGATTCAGCAGTTTTTAGCATACACATGCCATCAATTCTAGAACATTTTTGTCACACACACCCTGCCCTTCCCTGATATCTCAGTTGGTAAAGAATCTGCCTGCAATGCAAGAAACCCTGGCTCTCCTGGGTTGGGAAGATCTGCTGGAGAAGGGATAGGCTACCCACTCCAGTATTCTTGGGTTTCCCTTGTGGCTCAGCTGGTAAAGAATCTGCCTGCAATACAGGAGATCTGGATTTGATCCCTGGGTTAGGAAGATCCCCTGGAGAAGGGAACTCACTCCAGTATTCTGACCTAGAGAATTCGTGGACTGTATAGTCCGTGGAGTCACAAAGAGTTGGACAAGACTGAGTGACTTTCACTTTCACTTTCTTTCACCTCGTCCCCCCACCCCAGCCCCCTACCCCTCGGCCAAAAGAAACCCCTCCAGGCCTCCCCTCCCTCAGCCCCCTGTAGTCACTGATCTGCTTTCTGTCTCCAGGGGTTGGCCTGTTCTGGACATGTCACATCCATGGAATGACATGACATGTGGCCTTTTGTGTCTGGCCTCTCCCAGCCTAACCTTTTTTGAGGTTCATCCATGCTGTGTAGAGTGAATCCTTGCCTCATTCCTCCTTGTGATCAAGCAATATTCCCATCAGAGATTTTTGGCTGTGACTTTGAGATTTTAGAACTCCGCACTGAAGACCACTGTGATACGGGCCACTCCTGCAGCCCCTCTACCCCTGGACCTCATCACCTCCCCCAGGCCTGGCCCCAAGGGCTGGCTCTCCCCCAGGGCAGCACAAGGACCTCGGCCTGTGAGCCGTGCACATGGCCTGAGTGTCGCTGTCCTGCTTGTCAGCTCCCCGGAGCCCCTTCACCAGATAGGCGTTCTTGGTGGAGGGAGGCCCTGCCCCATGGGAGGGGCGCGGGGCCTCGGACCACTTTTGATGGGTCAGGGTGGAGCTGGCTGGGTGTCTCAGGCCTGTGCTGCCCCGCGAGTCTTACAGACACGCTGTCCCCGCTGGGTTGCAGGTCCCAGGCTCACCTGTGACCTCCCCACTGCAGTGGCCCCATGGGCCAAGATGATGTCCCCAGGATACACGCAATGCCAATTTACAGACCCCATTGCCAGGCTGTGGGGGCAGAGCCTTGGATGGGACTGGGACGGGTGGGCAGCATCCCAGAGGTGACCACATCTGGTCGCGGGACCAGGCCAGTCTGGACCCCAGGTGGCACCCAGCAATGGTCTGCGCGATGCGGGTGGCCCGAGCTGGGGGTAGGGTCACTGCTGCCACCCCTCGGTGGCTTCGCTCAGAGTCCCTGTGTCCTCCATCCCCCAGTCTGGCGCTGGGTGGGGCCGCAGGGAGCCCTTAGTCCAAGGTGGAGGCCGCGGGCCAGAGGAGCAGGCGCTGCAGACCCTGAGGGGGTTTCTGAGTGTGACAGGCATTGTAGCAACAAGGGTTCAGAAGAGGGATGAGCTAGGATGGAGGGGGCGTGGCCTGGCGGGCCTTGAGGGGGAGAGGCGGGGAGGAGCCTGTGCGTCCGCCTGGACCTGCTGGTCGTGGGTTCCTCTTCTTGTTGTCATCTCTTTTCACAAATATTATTAAAGTCTTGGCCAGACTCCCTGTGCACCGGGGGCCTGGAAACAGGGAGCTGTCGGGCGTGGGGTGCCGGGTCCCGGGCGGCAGGGGGCCTGGTCTGGCTGACGTGCGTCTCCGGTCAGTTCGCAGGGTCGAGCGCCGACGGCACCCGGCGGGGGATGGGCGTCGACATCTCCCTGCTGAGCTGCCAGTACTTTCTGGCCCAGATCCTGGTGTCCCTGGTGCTGGGGCCCCTGACCTCGGCCGTGGGCAGCGCCAACGGGGTGATGTACTTCTCCAGCCTCGTGTCCTTCCTGGGCTGCCTGTACTCCTCGCTGTTTGTCGTCTATGAAATCCCTCCCGGTGACGCCACCACCACCGAGGAGCACCGGCCCCTCCTGCTGAACGTCTGAGCTTATGCCCAGGTCTGGAGCAGGCGGGCTGCGGAAACCCAAGGGGCCCCGGTGGACGGAGGCAGGACAGGTCTCCTGTCGGGATGTAAATATGTGATGACAATAAATGGCCACAGCAGAGCCTATGGTTTCTAGTGTGGCTCTTGTGAGGGGCAGTAGGTCACCTGGGCACTGGGCCACTCATCACAGGGGCTTAGCGGGGGACTGTAAGAGTCACTTATGTATACACATATAACCAGAGGCAACCCTGCACCCTACCTCCCACTCCTACCCCCTGCCCCAAAGACACTGGGGCAACATCTGGAGATATTTTGGGTTGTCACAACTTGGGTGTGTGCAGATGCCCTGGAATGCTAGAAACACCCTAAGGTGCACAGGACAACTGCCCACAATAAGGAAGGATCTGGCCCCAAGTGTCTACAGGGCGGGGCGGAGAGAGCCTTGCCTAACTGTACATTGTTTCCCATAACAGAGTTAGAGTAGAAGATGCTTTGGGGTCAGAAGACCTCATACCCATTCATTCTCTAACTTATTCATTCATCCATCCATCCACTCATCCTTCCATCCATCTATCCATCCATTCACTTATCTATCCATCCATCCATCTATCCATCTATCCATCCATTCACTCATCTGTCCATCTATCCATCATCCACTCATCCATCCACTCACTCATCTATCCATCCATCATCCATCCATCCAACCATCCATCCATCCATCCATCCATCCATTTACTCATCTGTCCATCCATCCATTCATCCATACATCCACATATGCACCCTACAGATACCCACTGAGTGTCCTGGGACTGACAGGCAGTGGTAGGTCCTGGACGTCTAGTTGTGAGGTCTCTGCTGTCGTGGAGCTGATGTGAGGAGGAGAGACAGATAATACCCTGTCTAGGCCTGAGGATGACATTAGGTGCTGAGAGAACATGAGCAGAGTAGGAGGATGGGGTGACAGAGCTGGGAGTGAGCTATGCTGGACAGAATGGGGTTGGTGTGCTCGATAAGGTGGGAACCTCCAGGAGCAATGCCCCCGCTGAACGCCCATCCTGCCCGCAGACTTGACCCACCCACCAGTGCCTGCTTATGGACCCGGATGGACCGACTTCTTGCAGGTGTCGAGGTCCTTCACCATGGGGCTTCTTGCCATCCTTCCGTCGGCAGACACCACTGGCTGGGCCCCTTCCTGGTGCACCTGGGCAGAAACGTGGCTACTCATACCCTCAGCACATGGTGTGGCGGACATACAGGATACTCCGACCACAAGTCCCAAACAAGCAGCAGGGGCCCTGGCCCCTTGGCAGCCTCTGAGGAGAGTCTGATCTCTGGGCAGCTGTGCCCATCATCTTGCTCTGATCAGTTAGGGCCAGTTGGGTGGGGGGTGCGGGGCTGGTGGACCCAGAGGGATAGCGCCTGGGCTTTGGAGGCACTGCCACATGGTGGCAGGATCAGGTATGGCAACGAGGCCCGAGTTCCCTATCTACTTGGAGTTAGGACCTGCAGCAGGGGCCGTGAAATGATCAAGGGGAGCGGAGGGGGCCTGGGAGTGATAAGCAGTGGTCGGGTTCCCAGAAGAAACCAGAAGGTAAACAGTCTGCCAGCCTCAGGGATGGCCCCTGGGCCAAAAGGGGCTGCTAAAAAGTGCCTCAAAGTGCTGTATTTAATCTCATTCCCCACACTGGCTATCTACACTGGAGGGGTTCACCAGAGATCTCTGTTGTAAATCAGATGCCCCCTCCTCACCCAAACCCAATGAATTATGTAAACCAGGACTGGAGCTGGAGAGGCTGAGAGACCCTGATGCAGGCACAGCTGGGGCAGGGGTAGCAGTGGGTTCAGCTCCCGGATGGGGCTGAAGTCCCTTCCAGTTGCTCATCTGTGCCCACAATTCAGCAGCACATTTGGCTGGTGCACCAAGGAGACTTCTGTGCGGGGCCTGTCTGTTCATCCAGCAAACAGGAAGGAAGAAGCCAGCACCTCCCTCTGCTGAAATCTGGTCCAGGAACGAGGTACCTGGGTAGGGGGAAGCGCAATGCCTGTACAGGTACAGGGTTGAATCAGGGGGGATACAGGGGACTCAGATAGGCCAAGAGGAAACAGTTACAGAGGAAGGGAAGTTTGCTGGGGCAACTGGAACCCAGCAATGAGCCAGGGCAAAAAAAGGACCCCTCAGATTCTGAGCCCTCAATGAGGGCAGGCGAGTCCCAGGCGAAAGCCTGCACTGCCCCATCCACAGTGGCAACTGCAGGGCCCCCGAGACGGCTCGCTGACTCCTGCAGCCTCAGAACCCAGCTGGGTGGCCACATTCACTGGCTGCCTCCCCACAGGCTCATTTGGCTGTCCCTCCCTGGGAGGGGGCAGGGAGGCCAAGGGCCCCGGTCCCTCAGGGTCTCCACAGACCTGTGGGAGGACCTGCTCAGGGCTCTAGTGCAGGGCAGATGGTGCACTGGTCTCAGAGCCCATCAGCTTGATCCCAGGCTTCTGGGTAACCAGTCCTGTTTTGGTCCCATAGCTCCGAGTCCAGAAACACACCTGCACCAACTGGGTCAGCCAGGAGAGGCTGACAGGGGGGACGGGGGCCTGTGTTGGTGCCCTCACACCACCCTGGGTCTCCCTGTGTGGGCAGAGCAGGGATTGCAAGGCCTGAGGTTGGCAAAGGGCTCCCGGCTGGGAGGCGGGTCCCTGACACTCGGCAGCCGTTCACAGCCACCATTGCACAGCTGTGCTTCCAGCCCTGGAATTCAATGTCTGCCTGGGAGGTCACAGCCAATCTCCTTGCTGTACCTCCTGGCCTGGCAGATAAGTTGCTCTGATTTATGTAAATCCAGGTGATGCCTAAATAACGTGCCCTGTACACATGAACTTACCCTGGACCTTTATCTATGTGGCAGCCGTGCACCCGGCCCTGCCAAGCGCTACTTTCCTAGCTGTGGGGAACCAGAGGGGTTGCTGAGCCACCATGCCCAGGTCGAGGGGCCCCCCACAGGGCCGAAGGGACACCTGGGGCAGTTGGTCTGGGCAGCAACAGAGTGGAAACCTTGGCTGGAGGCACAGTTGTGAGACGTGAGACCCTTCCTCTCAGGCTCACAAATCCAGCAGGTTTGTCTGTTGCAGGAGACCCTCTGCCTCAGTACAGATACATGGTCCGATGGGGACACTGGCCATCGGCATCCACACCTGGCAAACTATTACAGCCTGTGCAGCTCTGATGAGGGTCTTTTCTGAAGCATCAATCTATTATCTCCATTCACAGACATGTCTTATCATTCAACCTTCCTGAAACTTCCACCTCATAAATCTGTGACTACTAAACACTTCAGCTTCGTGAAAAGCACCATCTAGATGAGAGACTGCCAAAGACAGCACCCAGATTCCAGCTACTCCCCCCTCCACCCACCCCATCTTCTCATACACAACCCAGAACCACACTCACGCGTGGTTGTGTGCTAAGTCGTTCAGTTGACTCTTGGCAACCCCATAGGCTATAGTCCGCCTCTGTCCATGGAATTCTTCAGGCAAGAATACTTGAGTGGGTCCATTCCCTCCTCCAGAGGACCTTCCCAACCCAGGGATCAAACCTAGGTCTCCCGCACTGCAGAATTTTTACCATCTGAGACACCAGCGATCCTGCTTGAGGGCAATTTACTAACAAGAAGCGCTCCAGGTTGCTCTTGCTCATTACTGAGTCCAGATCCCAGATAAAAAGGTGAGTGAGTGTACAATTTCCAGAGACAGTCTTGAAACTTCAGGAAACCACACTCTGGTCGCTGAAAAACCACAGGCTGAACCCACCCTGGTGACTGCTGCCCCCTGGTGGCCACGCATATTCTCTGCAGGTCCCCTGGAGCAGGAGGCTAAGATTGCCCATCAGGTTCTGGATGCACTGTCGACCTGCAGGGCGCCTGTAGCGACTGAAGGTGGGGTGGGGCCACCGGCAGGTGTCAGGGGTAGAGATGGAGAGGGGACAGGACAGGACAGGAGTGGCCAGAGCCAGAAGCAACTGTCCTGGCTGGTGGCTCGGATATATACAGTCCGTGGAATTCTCCAGGCCAGAATACTGGAGTGGGTAGCTTTCCTTTCTCCAGGGGATCTTCCCAACCCAGGGATCAAACCCAGGTCTCCTGCATTGCAGGTGGAGTCTTTACCAGCTGAGTCACAAGGGAAGCCCAAGAATACTGGAGTGGGTAGCCTATCCCTTCTCCAGATCTTCCTGACCCAGGAGAGCCAGGGTCTCCTGCATTGTAGGCGGATTCTTTACCAACGAAGTTACCAAGGTGCCCACAAATGAGAGATGTGGGGTGAAAGGCAGGGGGAGGAGCTAAGAGAGAGTATAGTGGTTCCAATGCCATCACCTGTCACCCCCAACACAGGGCCTGTTGTGCCTGGGGAGTCACTGAAGGTCCCGGGCCGTCAGCAGGTTGAAGCCTTCCCCAAGGGTAGTGCGCCCACAGGAGACCCTTCATCCTGGACGATAAGCCAGTGTGCTGGGGACACCAAGAACCCAACCTTCCCTCTGCCCCCTCCCCCCCCTGGGAGCCCCAGGGCAGGGCAACTGCTGACACCCCTGCCCACCCCAGGAATGAGATATAGCCCACAGAGGACACGCAGCCACTGTAGTGTAGCTTGTTTTTATTTATGTCCACAAATATTTCAAAAAAATTACAAAATACTCAAATGGAGAGAACACAGAAGTCACAATTCTGGGTGTCTACTGCTTACACTGTGTTATCTCATGGCAAACTACTCATATATACATTTAGCTTCAAGATATATATAAACGTAGCAAATCAGAATGTACACTCCGCTCTGCTGCTGCCGCAGTGAAGCTTGACCTCGACGACGTGAACAAGATACACGTGAAACACGGAAACGCAAAACTCAACTCCCAACCAAGGCAGGAAACCCAAACGGAAACCAGGGGGTTGGGCTTCAAAGACACCGCGAAGGTCTGGGGCCTCCTACACACACTGGAGTTGACCAGTGAGGGTTTCAGGTTGTGGGTTTTTAAATGGAAGAATCTCAGTGCTTCACCTGGGGACATGAGGAGAAAACCAAAACCAAACGAGAAAACGCCTTCAGACAGTTTTCAAATACAGACTCCCAAGTACTTCACTCT